GGGGGGGGGGGGGGGGGGGGGGGGGGGGGGTTTAGTGTGGTGTTGGTGTTCGGTGCATGTTGCCGCCTAGACAACAATGGTTGAACAACACCACCCGAAATAAACGGAGAATCGCGTAGTTGAGGCCTTACGTGCTGTCAACGGGGAGCGTATCCTCCGCGTATTTCACAATGAGCTTTAGAGTAGCACAAAAGGCATCGTAACCGTAACCGACGCTTGTTGCTGCAGAATTTTCTTGAAAACACCAGTAGCACTGATAGTTCAGCAGCAGGGACAAAAATACAACCAGAACGAAGAACAATAGGGACGGTATCATGGCACCCAGACGCTCTCCCGCAGACACGAGAACGTCGTGGGCCATCCACATCGTTTGCTGGCAACGCGGCTCCCGTGATCACGCCGCTTTCCTTTGGCACCCGTTTTTACCATCTGTGGATCCCGTCTTTGGCCGATATGTATATTCACTCCGACCCTGCACCCCTCAATTCCTGACGCCGAAACGGAATTCTCGACTCCTCACACGGTTTTCTCGAATTGGTAGAATTGGTAGAATTGGTAGAATTGGTAGAATTGGTAGAATTGGTAGAGTGTGCCTGGGCGTTGGGGAACGTGATCGTACAGCTATTGCCGAGAGGTTCAGTCCTGCCCCGTTCGACATCTTCTCGTCCGTCAACAGTCTACACCTTGCTGCAACACAGCTATTCCCACACGTCTACGTGTATCAAAACGCCGCGGCTCGTGCAAGAAACGAAAAACGTAGTATGCCGCTGTAAATGCCAATGCACACATATGTGCGTCCACATTGGCAACAGAAAAAAAAAAAGCGCATTGGGAATCCTTGCGGCCATTTTCGTAGCCGTCCTTTTGGTCAGACCACGCCCTCGCACCATCAGAAGAACTCCGTTTTTATTGCTCCACTTCCTTACTTCCTTACCTGCATGACCCGCCAAACCGCCTCCGTCCGCCCCAGGACGTCCCCGTAGCTCGCGTCCACGCAAACGAGTCTCCACGCGTGAGAGGGGAAGAGCCGCTTCAACTCTCCGGCTGCGGCGAACGAGGCCAGGCGATCCGGGCTCTGGTGCCCGCTTGGGCTTACGGAAAAGAATATGTAAGCGGGGACGAAGGACAAGCATCAGTGGGATTGTCGGTGTCAGACAACGGGGGTGATGTATTATTCAGACGGACGCTGAGGGGGTGGGCGCGGACCTGTCGGTGAGGACGGTGCGGCAGCGCGCTCGCGCCCACGCCTGGACAAAGAAACGTTGGATGTAACGGTCTGCACGAGGGAAGGATCACAACTCGTCCGCGAGTATCCCCGATCCCAGAACGACGCTAAATTTACCCCTCGTTCACGCTACACCACCATGACCACTATTATCTAAGCCCATTATTTCGTCACCTGTCGAAACAGACGTTGATTAGGTCGATGGGTTCACCCTTCGGCACAGCCGGTCCTCTCCCTTGGGCCCCCTCCTCCGCCAGCAACGCCGCAAGGACGACCGAGTCGAGCCCTCCAGAGAACAAAATCCCCACCCGTGCCGCTGCTGCTGCGGCGGCGGCTGCGGGAGGGCTTCCCCGTGAAGCCGTAGCAGCGGCACCACCCGCAGCGCCGTCATGCCACACCCGCTGGGGGCGGGTATCGGCCGCACAAGCGGCAGCATCCTCTGCGCGGAGGGCGTCCCCCAGCCCGTTGCCCCGCCCGGGCTTCTCCGACTCTGCGCATCCTCGAAATCCTTGCGGCTTGGCTTCCTCTCTGCCGCCGTCGCCGCTAGCAGCTCGACGGCGCCGGTTGAAGCGGCGGGACGCCGGGTGCGGGATCGTGCACACGCGGCGTCGGATCGAGCCCCTGAGCCTCTCCAGTAAACCCGCCGCCGCCGCCGCCGATGCCGCGGAGCCTCCCCCGTCGTCACTGCCCCAGGTGCCAAGCCGCCGGCCTCCTTCCTCTCTCTCGTTGCTCACCGCCTCGACCTTGCTCCCCTCATCCCCCGCGCTGACCCCAACGTCGTCGCCCCCCGTGATCCGTTGCCTCTGGCCTGGCGGCGTCAACCCGAGGCTCGCTTCCGAGAGACCGCTCCCCGGTCGCACCGACCAACGGTAGAGCTGCGGGCGGGGAGCCGTCCAACCGTTCCCGTCGACACGGGCCCCACCATCGCTTGTGGTGGCGGAGGTGCCGTCCGAGGAAAGGACGTAGATACCGTCGGCACGGACCTCCTCCCAGTCGCTCTCGGCAGCAACGACAACAGCACCCGCATCCTCCGCTTCTATCGCCGTCGCCGGAGGCCGACGGCCAACAGCAACAACACCCGCCGTATCATCAGCGTCGATCACCGTCGCTGGAGGCTGACGATCGTCAAATTCAGGCGGACGCTCGTCATCTTCAGCACTAGCGTGGTGGTGGGCTGGGGTCGCCGAGACTGTAGGGTTGACCGGGGAACATATTCCGGGGGGTTCCGTGGATTTCTTTTTGGGTAGGCAGGACAGGACCACGATCTTCTCTCCGGAGGATCTTGCGTGCGGTGGAAGGAGGAGGCGTGTTTCGTTCCAGGGGGAAACACAAGGAAGGCCCGACCGTTGAATTCACCGCGTGCCCGGAGAAACGGGACACAGGGCGACAACAACGCAAGCATTCCGTAGTGAGGACGGCAGGAACCAAGAGCATGGAGGCACATGGTTGAGTTGTTCGCAATCCTTCCCGTGTGGGGCGACGATAGCACGCCAGGCGCACAAGCTGGAATTGATTGCCTGGTAAGTCCAAGTTGTGACGTTTCCCCAAGCTCAGCAGCTCTCACACAGCTGACTTGCTTTTGACTCGAGCAGCCCAGCGGACCTCAACGAACCTAGAAGAAAATCTACAAACCTGTCTGCTGATATACTGTCATATTTCATGTATATACGTATGTACGTATACACACCTGTACACAGTCTCATTTCACGTTCACACGCAAGTATACACACATTCCTGTACACAGTCATATTTCATGCACATACGTATGTATACATATATTCCTGCATACAGTCTTATTTCATGCGTAAGTTAATACACATTGCATACCTAGGTCTCCGCAAGACAAGACTACGCCGGCCGGCGGGATCCCTCCCGTAGTACAACGCCCGCCTTCCCGGGCACCAGTACACGAACGAGAAAGGCCCAGAAATGCCGCCGAGTGCGGCCGCCACCTGCATACATCACGTCCAACCACAAGGCGGCCGACAGAAAGATTGAGGCCTCAATCGATGGCTGGTCGTGTACCGCCGCGAGTAAACCCGACCGAATGACGACCTGGAAGTTGCTGTGTCTGTTCTCTACCCGAAACAACTTGCAGCGGGCGCGCAGGTCATTTTCGCGACACTTCCTTTCGTAAAGGAGGGCACCACTACGCGAAGAAAAAACTCTTCGTGCGAAAATCAGCGCTGCATATTTGTCACCTATAGCTTACGGCGCCTTGTAGACAAAGGAAAAATGCGGCGTGCGCCGCAACCAACCGATTTGTATCATACCTCTTGGTGGTTGCATGTGCTACATCATCAAGTCTTAGTGCTTACAAGTGCTAGTTCGATCACGACCTCATGGTGGTTACATGTGTTACAGATCGATCATTACCTCCTGATTGTTTGCATGTGCTATATCATCATGTCATGGTGGTAACAAGGTGCCACAAGATCGATCATTACCTCATGGTGGTTGCATGTGCTAGACAGGGTTCGGAGGACGGCGGCCGTGTCAGACTCGCCAGGTCCGACGTCGAGGCCGTCAAATACCTGGAGAACGAAAGGAGGAGACACCACCGCCCCACGAAACATAATCATAGATGTGAACCAAATCGGATGCATGCTTGTGACAACAAGACCAACAACGTCTGTGCCGTTCACTATTGTGGGTTTGCCGGTGCACAAAGCGCAAAAACCTGGTTTGCGAAGGCGCACGAACAAATTCAAGCATATCCTCAGCACAGCAACGCCCAACAAGCGTACGTAGATGGGCCTGGACCTACACATCCACTATTAGTCTAGGTGTCTCAAAACAAAAAATAATGCGCAGACCGGTAGCCAGCAGCGGTGCTCGTGCTACTCCGCACATCCCGTAACCCAATCGAAAGGGGAAAACTGCAAACACGTGTTGAAGCGGTGATGAAGTATACAGTCTACAACTGGTGTGTATGGACCACGAGCGCGATGCCCCTCGAAACAAACCCCAGACCGATTCAGCCCATTCCCCGGCCTCTCGCAAACAACCTCCATGACACAGATCGCACTCCAAACCACACGCCACGCTCGTGCCTCGCCGTTCCAAAGCAGGACGTTCCCGTGAGCGTCCTCTGCTGGCTGCGCGCACAACTCATCGCCGCGAAGGTGCAGTACTGCCGCCATCAAGTGCAGCGTCCATCCTCCCTGAGACCACAGCGTACATAGAAGACGGTTGGCGAAAAAGACCTCGGATCTATGGTTTCAGTGTACACGTGTGATGTGCGAGGGCCAAGAATACTGCCGTAAGGTTACGAGATATGTACATAGCTCAATGCTCCTTTCGCTACCGAATCAGAGTCCCTTGAAGTATGTGGGGAGAAATGCCAAGCGTGGCCGAGGGTACTTGGACAATCGACGTTCAAGAAAGGGTGCATGTGAGAGGGCCTTGTATTCTGGCTCCCATAAACATCGCTGACGAAGACAAAAATTCCTTGTAGCCTAAAAACAGGGTAACGATACACCTTCATGCTGACATACTTCGCCACACTGCTGCCCAATTCTCAAACGCAAACATGAAAAACCAAACATCCAAACATGCTGATGGTGCCATGTTGATATGCGTTGCCATGTTGCCATATGGTTACAAATGTTAATGTTGCCATGTTACAATATTGCCGCAGCAGTTGCCCCGCATATATCGCGACACTTCCGTCGACTGACACCGGCAGAGCTAACGGTTTACGATCAACTCCGACGACTGCACACAAAGTACACCAACTGGGAGGAGCAAGCCTCTCATCGCGACGTCGCAACCACCAAGCGGTGTGCGAACTAAGAGAGCGAGACACCACGCTGCTCGCGGGACTGTCATCCAAAATGACAGTCCCGTGTTTGCTGCGCTTAATGCTCTACGGTGCAGGAGGTCAGGCGAGCTTTCGCATTGCTTGGTCTGCTGCATGAGCCCACCTACACATTCGAGGTGAATGATGACGATCCCGGTGGGGCTGTGGCCACGACGCTCTACCGCATGGTTTGAGGCTGTACACACACAGAGAGGGGCAGCCATCAACCACAAAAATGTATCTACAGCGGCCTTATCTCACACCTCCAAATCGATGGTAGTTTGCTTGTCGGCATCGGGGCCACGCCTTCGAAGCGCACCGATATAGCTCTCCAGCTCGGACTGCTCCGGTGGACCAGCCCCCAACAAGAAGCCGATACCACACATCGTGGCTGCTGGCTGGGTGTGGCAACCCTGTGCCTGCTGTGTTTCGGTGAAAAGTCGGAGGCATCAACACCCCCACGAAGAATTCATTTTTGTATTATCATGGAAACCCTCGGGCGCGTTTTTCTCCTCGGTCTCCTCGCCGCAGTCCATTACCCGCTACAGCTGCTGGAGGGGAGCGACTCACGAAGTCAGGAGGCGATGCATACAGCAGCAGTCATGGACCCAGATGGGCTGGCAGCAGCATCTGAAGACATGTCCTCGGCGGTGTCACCACCCCGAGGCGAGAGCAGCAAGGTCTCGTCCTCGGGTGATGATGCCACTGGAACAACATCACAGCCGCCGCCGCCGCCGCCGCCGCCGCCGCCCGCGCTCGTATACCACCTCACCAAGAAAGCCGGCATCCAAACGCGGCACCTGGTGGTGTACAACACGGGGCCGGTCGTGGGCGTGGACGAGGTGACGCTGCGCCGGGTGTTTGAGGCCTACGGAGAGGTGGAGCGCGTCTACTGCCCCAATCCCGCCGCAGCCAGGGTGTTGATCTCCTTCCATGAGGTGTGTGTGTGAGTGAGGCCTCCAGCACGAAGCCGGATTGTGTACACGCCGTGAACAGCAGCAGCTGCAGCAGCAGCAACAGCAGCGATAGCGCAGAGGAGGGAGTGCTCGATGTTTGGGCTGCAAGATGTTGGCTTGTGTGTACAGCGACGATATGTACAAGTACGGTATCGATTGCTGCTGGCAGGTCACACACTGAGCAGAAAGAGCCACCTTACATGCTGTAGCACCCCCAGCACAACATAGCGATCCATGTATGCATAGCGGTCGGCGCATGGTACACATAGGTTTTGTTCGAGAAGCCGTCGTTATATGAGGAGTCGAGACTAAATCACGTCATTGGATGCCTACCCCCTAGTGCACGCTACTGCTGTAGTTGGTTTATGATGATGGAACATGATTCGGTGGATTCATGGCCAATGCTCGTGAGGCATCCTGTGTCGTCACGGCCTTGCCCGTCCAGGACTATGTCGGGTACCGCAGCGTACGGCGGTACGCTAGCCTAGCGACCAGACCGGGGGGGTACACAGTCACGACTGACGGAAGAGAAGATTGAGGGAGCTACATAAGTTAACTTGTAAACTCGACCGAGACCCAGATTTTGCGGTCCGTTCGAGCGTTCCTCCCCTTGGCGGCGGCCGCGTGATTCCCGCATGTGTTGCTCGTCGTCCGAACATTCTCGTCTCGCGCAACAACGGACAGAAACAATGCATCACAACGCCGACATTCTCGGCACGCACAACAGCAGACAAGGAAAATGCAAGGCAACACCGACTGACGCGCATCGACACGCGTCAAGCAATACGTCTCGAAATGTCGTTCTTGATCTTCGCAGATTGCGCAAACACACACATGCACCCGCCGCCGCCCTTGCGTGTTTTAACTCCAGGTGTCGTCCGCGGCGAGGGCGAGAGCTGAACGGAATCGCCCCCCAGAGATCGAGGAGCGCGTGAGAGTCGGGGTGCCGGGGGCAGCCGCAGCGAGCGATGTGTTCGCTCCCACTCCGGGGGAGCCCTGCCCGCTGCTGGGCCGATGGCTCAAGGTTTCCTTCGCAGACGTGTGAGTGCGCTGATCGGCACGGCCAACAACGGAGCTGAAACAGTTGTTTGTTCGGTACATGCAGGAAAAACACCGGCCTGTACACGCATGTGCGTGCCTTCAAGCCGAGAGAGCATGGTGTCTATGACTTGTTTTTCCACTGGCAATACAAGTTAGCACGTAGATTGTCGTGTAGTGACAAACGGATCCCAGCACGAGAATATCTGGGTGTATGTTCCTATGTTTGTTTGCGGTCTGTCTCCCGTGGAGATGTTTGTCACACACACACGCACAGCCCCAAGGTGGCGGGGCCCCTGTAGCGGTGGGAGAGCGGGGGGGTGTACTCATAGTCGTGCATGCCGTAGTCGTCAGACCATTGACCTCACATCCCTACAAAGCCGGGACGGAGCACAGCACGCCGGGTTCTCACCGGACCAGGCTCTCACATCACCAAGCGCGAAGCGCCGTGAGATATTCGGCGAGTCG